GCGTGCACAAAAAATCGAGGCCGACATCCTAAGGGACGCCTGGCTCCCATAGGGCCAGATGCGGCGAGCGCGGCGCAGGCGCACCGCACGTTTCCGGGCGGCTTCGAAAAAGATGCTGTTGGCGCTTCTAGGGGCCTGCGAAGGCCTCGCGGGGAGGAGACGCCGGCATACGGCCGAGCGCAGTCATCATCGATGTTCCGCAGTCGGCGTGCAAGGGGGGAGCGCGCCGCTTTCGGTCAGGCCGGGGGCCCCAGAAAGCCCAGGATGCTTGGCGCTCCCCGCTCTCACCCTTCCTCTCGCCAAGCGACGGCGAGGCTCTAGTTCCCTCAGGCATTTTTCTCAGTCATTCCTGGGTGGCCCCTGGAGAACGTCTGGAACTCGGGTGCCCCCTGCGTCAACCTAAGTCCGACGGCAAATGAACGGCGCAGCACAGCGGAGTCATCTGCGCGGACGTTCGTGAGCAAGTTGCCCGCACGTGGCCGCGCGTGAACCACGCGGTGTGCACGTCAGCGGCCTACACGAGCCACCGTGTAAGGCCACCGTGTCCTCGCGTGTGAGGCCCTTCCTTCTTGTCGTTCAAGTGTGCTCCTTGGCTTTCCTGTACCCGCGCTCTTCACCGTGCGTATCTGCTGCGGGGTCGGTCGTTCCTGGTCTTGCGAGCCCGTAGGCATCTTCCAGTGAGTATCTGTTTCTGGAGTCTGGATCTGCGGTCCCGTATCTCCAACGCTGCGATTTTGGTTCACCAGGTGGTCCTCTAGAGGTCTCGATCCCCTCCCCGAGGCCCGCTCGTCATCCCGAGGCGTGTCTTGGTGTCTTCACGTTCCCAGGGCCCAGCACCAGGGCCCCTTGATGCCGAACACGGCCCAACCTTCTCCGACGTGGTGGAGCGAAGGAGGAGGGGGAGGAGGAGGGGGAGGAGGGGGAGGGGGAGGAGGAGGAGGAGGAGGAGGAGGAGGAGGAGGAGGAGGAGGAGGAGGAGGAGGAGGAGAGGAGGAGGAGGAGGAGGAGGAGGAGGAGGAGGAGGAGGAGGATGAGGAGGAGAGGGAGGGGGGAGGAGGAGGGGGGGGGAAGGGGGGAGGAGGAGGAGGAGGAGGAGGAGGAGAGGGAGGAGGAGGAGGAGGAGGAGGAGGAGGGGCCCTCGCCAGGACAGCGTCGGGCGACGCGGCCGGGAGCAGCTGCCGTCCCGCGCTGCCCCAGCGCGGCCCCCTGGGCCGCTTCGCCGCCCGCGTGTTCCAGCGCCGCGCCCCTAAGGTGCCCGGCGCGGGACGCGCGGGGCGCGTGGCCGCCGACCGTGCGATGCCCACCCGGGCCTCCGAAGTCCCTCCCTCCCTCCCTCCCTCCCTCCCTCCCTCCCTCCCTCCTCCTCCTCCTCCTCCTCCTCCTCCTCCTCCTCCCAGCGACAAATCAAGACAGATCTGTTCACCGTCTTCGGCGTCTGGAGGCTGGTCTCTGGGGTCACGGATCTTCCGAGAACGGGCCAGGATGAGAACCCGCCTCTTGCAAGTTGTTAAGAGGCCCAAGGGCCACCGAGCGAACGACATAAACATATTTCCGATCTCCGCAAGCGCATGTGCATACTGAATGCAGTTGTTCGTTCTTGAACGATCGCCGATGCCCAGGCCTCCAACGCTATGAAAGAACTGAAGAGGGCCAGTTTTGTGGTGCCTAGAGGACCGTGTGCAAAACACAGTCGGGGAAGAAACACCTGTCCCTTGGGAGGGGTTTGTGATTGCTCTGGAGGCCACGTGCTGAAACACGGCGTCGGAGGTCAGGGAACGTGCGACTTCCCCCATCCCCCCCCAACGCTTGCCCAGATCTCCCGAGCCGTAAAGTATCATGGCGGCAGTGTTTCCGTGTTATGGGCCTCTGGAAGCCCGTGTTGGGCCATCGAATAACGGTTCAGGATGAACAACTATTTATCCGCTTCGCTCATTCCGCCGCTCCGTATTGTGCCATCGTTGGTGTTGCGTGCGCGTTCGTGGGCCATGCGGCGCTGCTGTCGGCGCTGCTGCGGTTGTGGGTGAGTCCTCATGGATGCTTCTCGGTGTCTCTTCGGAGGGTTCTCGAGGGGCTCCTGTGCAGCAGTTTCATGGGCCCTTGGGGGCCTCCTGGGGGCGCCTTGGATGCCTCGTGGGGTTCTCTTGGCGCCTCTTGGAGGCCTCTTGGACCCTCTCGGGGGGCTCTTGGGGCCCGCTTGGGGCAGCCTGGACGCCTCTCGGGGCCGAGGGCTCGAAATGCGTTTCCTCCTTCTGGGCCCCCTCTCGGGGCCGTCCTGGGGCTCTCTCTGTCCGTCTTGGGGGCCTCTGGGTCCGTATGCCTCTAGGCCGTCTTGGAGCGATCTTGAGGGCTTCTTGGGCCGTCTGGGAGCGTCGGCGGCCGAAAAGGTGAGAACGCCGAAAGCCTTCAAAACCAATCGAAACTCGCTCAATTTTGCCTCCAGGGGGGCTTCTTGGGAGCGGTGCTGGAGGCATCTTCGGGCTTCTTGGAGGCGGTTGAAGCCGCCAGGAGGCTATCTTGGGCATCTTGGAACGACTCCCAGTGACTCTGGGCCCTATTCGACCCTATTCGACTGCTCTTCAAGGCCTCCTCCTCCTCCTCCTCCTCCTCCGCCTCCTCCTCCTCCTCCTCCTCCTCCTCCTCCTCCTCCTCCTCCTCCTCCTCCTCCTCCTCCTCCTCCCCCTCCTCCTCCTCCTCCCTCTCCTCCTCCTCTCCCTCCTCCTCCTTGGCCCTGAGGGCAGCTCCCAGGAGTTCTGGCATCCGTGACGGGGACGGCCCAGATCTGCATGGGGTGCTCCTCGCACGGGGAACCCCAGGGGCAGCCACGCGCGCGCGAACTAGAAGTCTGCTAAAGCTGTTGCCGGAGACTTGAGCACGCCTTTTGCCCGTTGGGCCAGCGAATTCTGGGGGGAGGCCTCCTCTTTCCCTCTCTCTCTCCTCCCCGCCCTCTTCTCCGTCTTCCCTCTCGTCCTCGTCGTTCTCCTCCTGCTCGCCCGAGTTGGTTCAGTGGTTTTCGGCGTCCAGGGGTCGGTTCTTGGCCCTGGGGCCGTCAGAGGACGACTCCGGACGACGAGCCAGGCCCAGGGGAGGCGTGGAGAGCTCTGCGAGATGCCACGGTTTGCTTGCGGCCAGGCTGTTTCCACCCATCTCTTCGAGGGCGCGCACCGCGAGGGAACCGCTGATCACCACGATCGGCCATCGACAAGTCGAGAGCGCGCACTGTTTTTTACAGATTTCGCAGGACTCGAGGATTTTGAAGACATGGGTCTCCACCTCCGGATGCCTGATGGGAGAACTGCAGCATGGACCCTCATATCAGCTTCAGTTTTCAATGCTGACTCTGGTGTGCAAGAAGCCCCGCTTTGACTGTTGAGCAGTTAGCAAGGGTTCGAATGCCAGCCGTAGGCCAAGGGTTGGTTGGTCGACCTATCATGTTATCTCTGAGCATTGATACGCGAACGGACGTTTACAATGAGTGGGACGGGGGAGAAGGGAGGACGGGGAGGTCCTCCTCCTCTTCCTCCTCCTCCTCCTCCTCCTCCTCCTCCCTCCTCTTCCTCCTCCTTCTCCTCCTCCTCCTCCTCTTCTTCCTCCTCCTCCTCCTCAATCTCCTCCTCCCCCTCCCCCTCCTCTTCCTCCCCCCCTCCTCCTCCTCCTCTTCCTCCTCCTCTTCCTCCTCCTCCTCGGGTCGCCTACGGCCCCGGGGGAAACCGTGCAGGCCCAGGGGGGCCCTGGCGCTTCAGAAGGTCGCAAAAAGCTGAAGACACCTTGGGCCATGTTGCATCTTTGGGGGGCCTCTTCTGTCGAGCCCAGCTTTGGCCCGCGGAGGGATGCCCTCAAGAACGCCCCTCCACCCGCCGACGGGCTCACGGCGATGCAGGCAGCGGCGATGCAGGCTTCGGCACCGCGGGAGCGCGTGGTTCGCCTTCTCCTGCAGTCCGCCGTGCCCTGCTCGCTCGATCTCCGCTCGCAGAGGGGAAGTGTAGGAAGGTGTGGCTCGTGATGCCCTACAGGTGGGGTTCCCAACACCACCGGTCAGCAGCGTCGCCTTCAGCCCGGCCCTGGTTCACGTCGGCCCCGGCGGCCTGCCCCCTGCGTCGGCTGCACGTGAGAGTGGCCTTTCGCCGGAGCGACCTTCCGGTGCGGGCCCAATGTGGGCCCCCCGATCGCCGAACGCGGTGCGGCATCCGCGTCCTGCGCGCTCGTGTTTAGCCCCAAGACGGCATTTTTGAGCCCGGAGCTGGAACCCCCCATGCTGTTTTGGCGAAAGGGTCCAAGACGGCCCCAAGAGGCCCCAAGAGGCATCCAAAAAGAGCCCCAGGGAGGCCCCCAGACCCCGCAAATGAGCCCCAAGAGGGCCCCAAGACGCCCCAGAAGAGCCCAAGAGGCCCCGCGCGGCCCCCGCTGAGAACCTCGCACCCAAAGGTCGCTCTTGCCCAGGGCCGCTCCTGCGTGCCGTCGGCCTGCGGGCCTGCGAGCGCCCGCTCGGGCCGCACGGGCGCCCCGATCGCACCGGCGCCGCGGCCGCGGCCTCGGCCGCGGCCTCGGCCGCGAGGCTCAGGTCGGGCCTGTCCCCCCTACAGGGGGATTTTGGGCGAGAACTTAGACATGCTAGAAAAATGATGGTCAACAAAAGTCAAGAGATAGTGCCCCGAGTAGTTGTTTGTACTATGTTTGAATTTTCCTCCTGTAGAGGGGCAGGCCCGACTTAATTATTTTGCTCTTTTTTATTTTTAAATACTTTTGAATATTCTTTGATTAGTACCCAGACTATTGTTTGATTTTTTGATTATTTTTGATTATTTTTTGAATATTCTTTGATTATTTGTTTGATTATTTCTTATACTATTTTTGCATATTCCTCCTGTGGGGGGGGGAGGCCCGACTGAACGCGAGGCCCCGATCGCACCGCCGCGCCGAGGCCGCGCCGCGCCGGCGGGGGCGGGCGCGGCCTCGGCCTCGGCCTCGGCGGGCGCCGCCGCTGCGCGGCGGGCGCCCCCGGGCGGCGGCGCGCGCAGGGGCGCCGGGGCTGCGCCGGAGGCGCCCGCGGCGGCGGCGCGTCCCCAGGAGGGGCGAGGAGACGATTTGGTCAAGGGTTTTTTCGGTGATATATATATATATATATATATATATATATAGTTATATGTTTTATGTTTAAGTATTTCTGTATGTATTTATGTATTTATCTATTTATTTATGTATTTATTTATTTTTCAATTTATTTATTTATTTATTCATTTCATTTATATTTTTTAACTGGTGCATTTGATTTTCATTTCTTGAATAGGTTTCGGCCTCGGGGGCCCAGTGTGTCGGGCCTGGGGGCCAGCAGGGGGGATGGAGCCGGGATGAGGAGCGAGCCCCGGGGAAGGGGTCGGGGCCCCTGGGGCCGCGGGTCGGGCAGGTGTCCTGTCGGCGGATGTCTGGGGAGAGCTCCTCGCCCCCCGGCGCCTCGGGGGCCCGCCCTCGTCGCGGCGGCTGGGCGCGGCTGTCGGCGCTGGAGGGTCGCGGCCGCGTGACGGGGGCCCAGGCTTAAGTCGGGCGTGTTCCTCTACAGGAGGGAGATTCCGAAATAGTGAAAAAATGCCCGGGAGACGATTTTTCGATTATTCCCTACCTAGGCTCTGCCTAGAAGAGTTCTTACTTTCTTAGCTTAAAGGGGCCGGGCAGTGCTAATCGCCCCGGGCGGTTCCCCCGGTCCTCTGGGACCCAAGCAAAAGTAACAGCAAAGGTAAAAGCAAACGCGCGGTTCCCCCAGTTGCGCTCCCTGGGTGCCAAGCAAAAGCAGAAGCAAAGGCACAAGTGAAGGCAAAAGCGAAGGCAAAACAAAAGCATAGCATAGCATAGCATAGCATAGCATAGCGCAGCATAACATAGCATAGCCTAGCCTAGCCTAGCCTAGCCTAGCCTAGCCTAGCCTAGCCTAGCCTAGCCCAGCATAACATTGCGCGGCATAGCATAGCATATCATATCATAGCATAGCATATCATAGCATAGCACAGCATATCATATCATATCATATCATATCATATCATAGCATAGCATAGCATAGCATAGCAGAGCAGAACAGAGCATAGCGTAGCATCGCATAGCATAGCATAGCGAAGCACAGTATCCACTATTGCTGCTGCTGCTGCTGCTATATATATACTTTCCTAGAGGCTCCAACTCCTAGGTATGGTCGCACTGGGATCATGTTTGACTATCTTGGATGTTTGGGGACAACTTTAAGATTTTTCCTCGAAAATCCTCCTGTAGGGGGACATCCGACCTAAGCCCAGGCGTCCGCATGGCCGGGCCAAGAAAATTTGGAGGACGGGTTTGGGGTCCGAGCCGTCGAAAACAGAATTATTCGGGATGGGACGGCCCAAGGGAGGGGGCCGAGAGGTCTGAGGGCCGGGGCAGGCTCTTCCTCTTCCTGGCCGTCGTGCCTTCTGGGCCCCCCCCCCTCGTAGTTAGCCACGGCTGGGCGGTGGAACTTGCCGGAGTGTGCCGCAGGAGGGGTCCCGGGGCCAGCTTGGAGCGGACTCTGGGTCGGGAGCGGGACGAGAGGGCGGCACGGCTTCTCGGAGGTGCGCCTGCCTCCTCAGAGGTCTTCCCAGATATACCCCTCACGAAGGGGCCGACCCTTTCCAAGAGGGCCCGCGCCTTCTCGAAACTGCCCCCTTCCCCTCCCCCCCCCGGCCTTGTCGTGCTCCGCTCTGCGCGCCCTCGACCCTCAACACATCCTTGGGCCTCTCTGGCTCCGACGTCGCTTTGTTCCCCAAGCCGTGCCTGCATTTGGGGGCTCTTAATGGAGGATGACGATTCGTAAATGACCGGGGGTCGTGTTCACGCGGCGGCGCCTGGGATGACGACTAGAAAAAACCCGGCCGCGGGCTGGAAAACTTTTTTTTTTGGTTAAAAAAATCGTTCTCCTCCAGTCAGAAAATTAGGCAGAAATAGCAGAAAACTATTTTTTAAATCGTTCTCTCGCATTTTTTTTATTAATCGTCATCCCGCATTACGTCTGTCCCGAGGGGATTGGATGGTTCTGGCGAGGATCGGCCACCGTCTTGGCTTGGTTGCCGCCTCGCTGCCAGCCGCTTGCCGCCACGGGGGTCCGTCGAGGATTCGCCGCGCTCCGGCCCGCTGCCGCCTCGCTGCCGCCTCGTTGCCGCCGGGGAGGCCGGGCGAGGATTCGCCCCGTTCCGGGTCGTTGCCGCCCGTTGCCGCCTCGCTGCCGCCTCGTTGCCGCCGAGGGGGTCGGGCGAGGATTCGCGACGTTCCCGGGCGTTGCTGCCCTTTGCCGCCTCGCTGCCGCCTCGTTGCCGCTGAGGGGGTCGGGCGAGGGGATTCGCGACGTTCCCGGGCGTTGCTGCCCTTTGCCGCCTCGCTGCCGCCTCGTTGCCGCCGGGGAGGCCGGGTGAGGATTCGCCCCGTTCCCGGTCGTTGCCGCCCGTTGCCGCCTCGCTGCCGCCTCGTTGCCGCCGAGGGGGTCGGGCGAGGATTCGCCCCGTTCCCGGGCGTTGCTGCCCTTTGCCGCCTCGCTGCCGCCTCGTTGCCGCTGAGGGGGTCGGGCGAGGGGATTCGCGACGTTCCCGGGCGTTGCTGCCCTTTGCCGCCTCGCTGCCGCCTCGTTGCCGCCGGGGAGGCCGGGTGAGGATTCGCCCCGTTCCCGGTCGTTGCCGCCCGTTGCCGCCTCGCTGCCGCCTCGTTGCCGCCGAGGGGGTCGGGCGAGGATTCGCCCCGTTCCCGGGCGTTGCTGCCCTTTGCCGCCTCGCTGCCGCCTCGTTGCCGCTGAGGGGGTCGGGCGAGGATTCGCGACGTTCCCGGTCGTTGCTGCCCTTTGCCGCCTCGTTGCCGCCTCGTTGCCGCCGCGTGCGTCGCGTGGGTATGCCGAGGAGTCGCCACGTTGCCGCCGGCTGCCGCCTGGCTCAGACCACACAGCTGACACGACATGTCTTTCGTCAGGTAGCTTAACGACCGCTTTTAGTGGTACACACCTGCAAAACGCGCAATACAACACATTTACTTGTATCGCTGTGCGACGACAGTAGTACATTGTACATTGTGGACCAGCCAAAAACATTACATGACAGCAACACCGTAACACATGATGCAGCCAGCCCTGATTACCCTCGAAGGACGTGGTGGGTTCGGTCCCGATTGCTTGGTGGTTACTCATGACCGCAAAGTTTTCACCTCCACAGGTGGGGACTGGAGGACTGCGAAGGGATGTGGCTGGAAATCTGTTGCAGTGATGCCAGCCGTATCGGGCCTGGCTCCCCTGTTTCGGCAGGAGGGGCTGTACGCGTGCCTTTCTTCCGCCCTTTTCCCACTCGCGTTGGGCACCCCTGCGAGTCCCACCGTCATCGCCTGTAACGGTCACGCTCGCGCGAATTTTCCTCGACAGCTGGTGGCGCTTCACAGCCGTCATATGATCGACGCATGTTGGATATTCAGTTGTTCCCAACCATCCTGTGGTGTTGGGTCCTCGTTTTGAAGAGACGGTGCCACGCGTTCCTCTCCTCTACTCCTCCTCCCCTCCTCCCTCCCCCTCCTCCCCCTCCTCCCTCCTCGCTGCGTTTCGCCCACCCAGTCCCAGCGTTTTGGCACACCGCTCACACGATTCGTGGCCCCATAAGGGGGCTCCACCGAAGGCTCTAGTGGCAGGGTTCGCATGACGGCTCCGCATTGTGGCGCACCCCTCACACGGTTTGTGGCCCCAGAGGGGGTCTCCACCGAAGGCCCCAGTGGCAGGGTTCGCATGGCGGCCCCGCCCCATGTTGGCGCACCCCTCACACGGTTCGTGGCCCCATCAGAAGCTCCACCGAAGGCCCCAGTGGCAGGGTTCGCATGGCGGCTCCGCCCTATTTTGGTGCACCCTCACACGGTTCGTGGCCCCACAGGGAGCTTCACCGAAAGCCCTAGTGGCAGGGCTCGCATGGCGGCCACGCATTTTGGCGCACCCCTCACACGGTTCGTGGCCCCATGGGGGGCTCCACCGAAGGCCCCAGTGGCAAGGTTCGCATAGCGGCCCCGCCCCATTTTGGCGCACCTCTCACACGGTTCGTGGCCCCATTGGGAATTCCCCTTGCTTCGTCCCACCTGCCCTGCGGTTCTCACCTTTGTGTATGGCTTGGTCCTTCGCCAGGATAACTTTTTCTATCGCAGGTGCTGAATCACTTGTGTAAGCCAATGGTCTGCACCTTTGGGTTGATGTCTCGGTCTGGTCGGTGCAGCGCTGCATAGTGCATCATCGGCCTTCACCCCTTTCTCGATTGGGGTTGCAGATCTGCTTCGCTATCTCTTTTTAGTTGGCTCGTGCTGCGAACGGCACGCACGCGGGTTAATGGAGACATCATCAAAACATGGGCGTGTTGATGTTGTTAGGAGAAAGTTTCCACCTCCATAGTACAATCATGCTCTAATTGGGGTCACGCTGTCTAGCATGTGGTTCGAGTCCCAGCATCCATCTCCCTCAATTTCGGTCTCTGCGGGCCACTTGTGGTCCGCTGGACCAACAAAAAGCCTCGCGGCACGAAGCCGGTCCTGGGGATGGGGCCATGCGGTTTGGGGACCCGCGTCGTGAAAGATTCGCGACGAACCCTACTCCAGCGGGTCCGATCGTCGCCGGAGTATCAGACAACCCCGCTTGACTTTACTTTAACGCAGGCGCCCTTCATAGATTCTGACTCCCCGCCAGGGTTTCAGAAATCGACCCTGGAGGGGTACAGTCGACCCGCATAGTGGGGATGGGCGACTTTCCCAGGGTACACTTGCATCCTTGCCCCTTCGGCCCATCCTCAGCGACTTTCGCGGGCCAACCTCGCTCGGAGAACGTTCCCATGGCACTCCAAGGCCTTTGCATCCTTGCAGTGGGGACCCATGCCAAGAAGCACCCTGCTTGCCTCCAGGGTGCCCCAGGTCCCTCGGGTTGCGATGGCTCTGCGATGGAAAGGGCGCGACGCCCCCACGCCAAAACTCAGCGGGGACGTCCTGGGGCCTCGGGGTTGGGTTCCCTGTGGAAGGTGTCCTGTGGACTAGTCTCCCGCTGTGCAGCGCATCCTGGACTGCAGGGTCCGCGCGCGGTGCCCGCAAACTCTCGGCTGCAGGGCCCGCGCGCGGTGCCCGCAAAAAATCTCGGGGCTTCGGTGCGGACTGCAGGGGTCCACGCGCGGTGCCCGCAAAAAACCTCGGCTGCAGGGTCCGTGCGCGGTGCCCGCCGCATCTCGGGACCTCGGAGGCCCGGGCGCGCCGACGGGCAAGAGGGGCCGGGGCACTGAGGGGGGGGGGAGGCCCCCTTCTGGGGAGGCCCTCGCCCCCGACCCTGTGGGAGGTTGGTAGACCTCCTACCCTGACACGTCGAGTAAGGAATTGGGCGTTTTCGGTTCGCGAGCGGGTGTCGCGGCCGTCACTTTTGCGGGTCCACAGGTCCGTCGGTTTCGGTCCCAGGCCGTTCTCACTAAGGGGAGGTTTACTAAAGGGAGGTTTGTCCACCGCCCACCCTGCCCCTGTTTGCATCGAGGATGAATCGCAGAAGGAGAGATGCGAAACTCGAAGAAGGAAAGATGCGAAACTCGAAAAAAGGAAACATCGAGGATGAATCGAGGGACACATCGAAGATGAATCGAGGATTTTCATGCGTAAACTGTCGGGGCTCCGCGCGGATTTCTCGGATCCGCGCTGGACCCGCCTGGCCGCGCCTCCGGCGCCGCGCCTCCGGCGCCGCCCCTGGCGCGCTCCGCGCGCCAGGGAGGGTGGGCCCAGCGCGGATCCGAGAAATCCGCGCGGACCTCCAAAAGTTGATGTTTATGCTGTCTTCTTTTCCCCTAGCCCGAATAACACAGTGAAAAGGTGGCCTCACTTAGGTCCCCGTCTTTACATCAGGGATAATCAGTTTGGTCTGATACATCCGCAGAACAGACCCCCTGCCCCTCATGTTTTTGGCCCTCATAACTTAGGTCGCTTCCCAAAGGGCTCGGGGTCCTTGTATGTTTAATCATGCTTGGAAGGCCTCCCCGACCATGCCTCTGTTTTGTCGCGGGTGCATCCAATGTCCAGTCTTCTCCCGCTTACCACAGGACCCCCGATGTCGTGTTTTTCAACACGGCCGCTGAACCTTTTCAAGCCCTCCACGGGACAGTTCATCCCGGATCGTATTGGAGAGCCCCTTTCCTTTGGTTTGTTTCAAGACGCTGGAGGTTTGGACACCGCCTTGCATTGCTTCTGGGCCAGAAGATCTTGGCGAGGAGCATGTGTGGCTACCTCCGCTGGATGCGATATGTCCACCCCAGTAAGGGGAAAGTCGCGGGGGCCGGGGCAGAGGTACAGGTCGCAGTACCCAGACCTCCAGCCTTTTTTTTTTTTTTTTTTTTTTTACCATCCCTCCTGTGTTGGGTTCTCGTTTTGAATAAAGCACTGTGGTCTCGAAGACCCCCTCCTTCCTCCTCCTCCTGCCTCCTCCTGGGCTGCTCCCTGGGGGTCTGCGAACTGCGCAACCGTCGCCGCTTTCGTGGGCTCCTGGGAAGCACGGCGGAGGTGAGGGCAGCGCGGATCCACTTGGGATCTCGCGGTTCCCTCGGAGGCTGTGAACTGTGCAACCTTCGCCGCTTTCGTGGGCTCCTGGGAGGCACGGCGGACATGAGGGCAGCGCAGATCGTGCATACCTGGCGATGTGTTCTGTTCTATGGAGCGTTCATACAACTGTTCGCCTCGCGTGGAGAAGAGGTTGGATACGTCTCTAGTAAGTTTGTTCTCGATGCCAGTGTTGTGTTCCTCGATCTAGGAGTCCCGCTTCGGGCTCCAGGCCAGTCAAAACGGTCTGGGATGAAACAGTGGTTCCCTGAAACGGCCTGAGAGGTTCAGGGGCTAGATATTGAGCAACAACGCGGCTTTGGACGCCCGGGGAAGGGCAACACTGTCAGCGGCACCGCGCATGACACCCACCTACATTTTCTCATACAGTTGACATTTGCTTCCTTTTGTTTATGATGATGATGGTGCTGCTTTGGCGATGATGACGGGCCATGATGGTGGTGAAGATGACGACGACGCTACTGATGTGATTATGCTGGCAATGCTGGTGGCGGTGTTAGTCTCATGATGCTGATGCTCTTGATTTTATGTCCGCTGGGATAGGCCTGATAACCTTCGGGAGAGGCCCCATGGCTTCTGGGGGAGGCCTCGGGGCCTTCTGGGCAAACCTGAGAGGCCGCTTGGACATGGTTCAAGGCCGCTTTCGAGAATGATTCGATTCGCATGTCCCAGAGCGCGCTTGTGGCCCGCGCCCCAGCATTATTTGTTGAGGGTGCGCAGGGCGGTGTTGGACAGGGCTGCGTAGGGTTTCGCGGTCCCGCAGGCGCAAGCGGTCCAGACCATCCTATGTTCGCGCCCGCCTTCTCACTCGGCCTGAGAGGCGCCCCGACGGGACTGGCACGCCCGCAGGGGACCACCCACGCAGCCAGGCAAGCGGCCCCATCAAAGTCGCCCCCCAGAGTTCTCCTGGAGCGCGCCCCGACCGTGACGACGAGGGGCCCCGGGGAGGCCCACGAGAGGGTCACAGACGTGGCCGTGGGCGTCGCCTTCGCGGCCGGGGCGCGCGCGCGTCGAGGGGCCTCCCCCGACCTCCGAGGTTTCTCCGATGGACTCTCCGATGGACTCTCCGAGGGGCCTCCGAGGGCCTCCGAGTGGCCCGCCGCCGTGGCTGCCGCCATCGTCGTCGTCCTCGTCACGGTCGTCGTCGTTGTTGTCGTCGTCGTCGTCGTCGTCGTCGTCGTCGTCGTCGTCGTCGTTGTCGTCGTCGTCGTCGTCGTCGCCGTCGCCGTCGCCGTCGCCGTCGTCGTCGTCGTCGCCGTCGCCGTCGCCGTCGCCGTCGTCGCCGTCGTCGTCGCCGTCGCCGTCGCCGTCGCCGTCGGCGTCGCCGTCGTCGTCGCCGTCGCCGTCGCCGTCGCCGTTATCATCGTCGTCGTCGTCGTCGTCGGGGCCCCGGGCAGAGCGCACCCAGGCCGGCCCCGTGGCGTCGGGGGCTGGCGCGGCTGGGGCCGCCGCAGAGGAGGGACGCGCGCGTCGGCGAGCTGGGCGGTGCACGGGAAGAGGGACAGACCCAGACATCGGGCGTCTCGAAAAATTCGAGACGGAGGTTTTTCGTTGTTTTCGGCCTCTCGGGGCCCTCGCCAGGCCTCGGGACCGTCAAAACACGACTCGGGGTGGAACACCGGTCCCGGGGAGGTGGGAGGTCGGGGGCCCGTGTCTCGAAAAAGTCGAGACGTCGGATGTCTGGGGATGGGGAGGAGGATTGCACCAGAGAGAGACCCCAATCGGGACTTCACACGAGAGGAGAGCCCCCAGCAGCGGAGAGCGACCGGGCACCCGGGAGCCCCGAGGCCCACCGAAATTGGCCCGGCACCAGCTACCAGGAGCCCGGGAGCCTGGAAGCGGCCCTCCTGCAGGAGGACAGGCCCGCCCTGAGCCTGTGCTCTGACAGCTGCTCCCTCGGCCCCGCCGCGGCCTGCAGAAGCCCCGGCCTCCCTTCCCTCAGAGCAGGGCAGGCCGCCCGCAGGTGTCCGACCGCGGCCGAGGCGGGCACAGCGCCTGGCAGCTCGTGGGGGGCGCCGGGCGGTGACGACGTACACACTTCAGTTCACTACCGCCCACCCGTAGATCGGGTCGGGCGTAAGGGGGTGAGAAGGCGCTGGGGAGCGTCTAGGCGAGGTCTGTAGGCCGGGAACCCAGCCGGCCACCAGAATCGGCGGGACGTTTTCGCCAAATATCTTCCAGTCTCCGCTAGGACCCCTTCAGTGCAAGCACTTATATTACAGTCAACCCGCAGAGCAAGGATGGGCGACCTTCCCAAGGGTATCCTCGCATCCTTGCCTCTCCGGTCTATCCTTGACCACTTCCGTTGGCCGCGCCCCGCTCGGGAAGCTTCGAAATGGGTATCCAAGGCCCTTGCATCCTTATCCCGCATCCTTGCTATACGGACTGGACGAAAGGGGGGGATTGGGAAAGGGGGGGTTCCTAAATTTGCTGCATGAAGCTGGTTTTGGCCCCGCCGAGGGGCCCATTCCTCGAGACATGGCCGCCTCCCGGCGCCGGGAGGCGTCGGGAAAATCAGCTACGTGAGCTGATTCTCCCCCCCCCCCCTTTGCTATCCCCCCCTTTTTCGGAGGGCACCAACTATACACCAACACCGATCCTGGCCAGGATCGGTGTCGGTGTACAGTTGGTGCCTTCCTACTTTTGCCCGACCCGATCTACGGGTGGACGGTAGTGAGCTGAAGTGTGTACGTCGTCACCGCCCGGCGACCCCCACGAGCTGCCAGGCGCTGTGCTCGCCTCGGCCGCGGTCGGACGCCTGCGGGCGGCCTGCCCTGCTCTAAGGGAAGGGAGGCCGGGGCTTCTGCAGGCCGCGGCGGGGCCGAGGGAGCAGCTGTCAGAGCATAGGCTCAAGGCGGGCCTGTCCTTCTACAGGGGGGATCTTCAGAAATAGTCAAACAAAATACTCTGGGGACGATTTTTTCCGACTGTTTTTGAATATTCTGGGGGTATTCTTGAATTTTTGTTTTCTAGTTTTCGTCGACAATCCCCCTGTAGGGGGACACGCCCGACTTAAGCCAAGGCCCGACCACATGTCGACGGCGGTGGACACGTATAACTTCCGGCCTCTGAGAAGGATCTCTCAATTTCGCCACAGGTGCGCCCACGAAGTCGGACGGTTCAGCGCAGTACGGGATGCAACGCCCGCCAGGATGGACTCTGGGAGGGGTCCGAAAATCGGGGTTGTGAGCGGATTGCAAGGGCACCGCGGAACAGCGTGGACGCAAGCGGCGGACGGGGGGACAAAGGGCCAGTGGCGGGTTCACGCGGGGGCGACAGTTTGGTGGCTTTCGGTCCTTCTCGCCACCGCGCCTGGGTCGTGTTCCGTAGGCATTGGAAGCCTGACGGATGTTCTTCCTGGGGCCCCCCTGGGGGCCTTTCACACAGATCCTGGGAGCCCGACGGGTTTTTTTGGGTGACTTCTGAGGGCTCCCTGGGGGCCATTTCAAGCAAATTTTGGCCTCTCAGGACCTTTACCGGGTCGGCATCCTAGTACACATCGTAGCAGTCCACGTACGGTTCGGTGTCTGGTGGTCCCTCGCAGCCTTGGTCCGCGGTGCATGGGTCGGGCTCTTCGTCATGATTGGCTCAGGGCTTGTCCACGATCTCCTGCTTGCCCGCGCTATGGGGCTTCCCCTGGGATGGGCGCCACCAGCAACGCGCGCTCGCAGTCTCCTCGCTCCTCGGCCTCGCAGGCCTCAGCATCCGATTCGACCCGTAGACTGGGATCCCCTCCCTTCACCTTCATCCGAGCTCTCTCACGGCCCCTTCGCTCTCCTGATCTCTGTCGTTCAGGAGGGAAAAAACACAGACACAATTATTCGTCGATTCCCGGAAAATATGGGAAACTATGGGAAGTGGGGGGGAAGACACCCCCCCAGAAAATATGGGAAAATATGGGGAATCCTTTTATTTGTGTGTATTTATTTGTGTGTCCCAGGGCCCCTTCATTCTCCTCGGCGCCACCAGGAACCCGCCGTGCGCCGCCAAGCCCGCGTAGACTCCACCGCCGAGCGGCGCGCGCGCGCGCGTCGAGCCGGCCCACGAGCCCGACGAGCGCCGTGGCCGAGGCGCCCTCACACGGGAGAGCGTGCCGCAGGGCGCCTCACGCCTCCTCCTCCTCCTCCTCCTCCTCCTCCTCCTCCTCCTCCTCCTCCTCCTCCTCCTCTCTCCTCCTCCTACTCCTCCTCCTCCTCCTCCTCCCCTCCTCCTCCTCCTCCTCCTCCTCCTCCTCCTCCTCCTCCTCCTCCTCCTCCTCCTCCTCCCCCCCCTCCTCCTCCGCTTGAGCAAGCGCGGTTCAGGAGGAAGGATTGGACCTCGCCCTGCGGGGGCGCCACGACGCGACAACCAGCAACGAGCGAACTGCTTTTTGGTGCAGTTCTCATCACTCGGGGACCGCTCTCGGCCCACGTGAAGCGATGCGGGACGAGGAACCGGTACCCTGGAATGGGGTCGAGAGCTCCGAGGCCTGGGTATGTAAAACAATGGCATCGGAGGCCGGGGTGTCCGACCTTGCAGACGGACCAAGGCGTTCTGCCTCGATGAGTGTGGGCTTTCCCCTGCATTCTGGAACTTGTGGGCGGACAGTCTTGGTATAGTTTGCCTCTTTGACTTGGCTCTTGTCCGGCAGGTTCCGAATCCTCCCTCTTTGTGTTTAGCATGCAGCACCGTCGGCTGTAAAGGCCTTTGCAATCGTGAGCTTGAGGTGGCGGCGTGTATCGTGTCCAGCTTTTCAGTCCAAATTTTGTTTGCTGTCTTGTTTTCTCTGTCGTCCTCTCTTTCTTCTTTTGTCTGTGGTTTGACTCCCTGTCTCCCTCCCTCTCCCCATCCCCCCCCATGCGATCGACGTAGAGAAAACGGATACGACTGCGCGGACGTTCGCGCGTAAGCTGCCCGCGTAGGGTCGCGCGTAAGCGCCCTCGCTTCCACGCGGTGTGCCGCGCTGATGACTTGCGTACGCCGTCGCCTGAGGTCGCCGCGTTCGTCGTGCATGAGTCCCCTTTTTTGTCTTCGGGTCCCAAAGGAGGAGATGCCCGCCCCCAGCAAGCACAGGGTGGCCTGCGAGTTCTGCGGCAAGCGGACCAAGCACCTGGCCGCCCACCTCAAGGATGGGGTGACGCGAACCGTCCAGGCCCTGGGCGTATGTTGCATTCTTTGCCCACCCTGGCGATCTCCCAAACACCGGTCGCCGCAAAACGGATCCAGGACGAACGTCCCCTGGGAGAGCCCTGGGACAGGGCCCGCAGCACGGACGGGGCCCGGACGGGGAGAAATCCGTTCCAGAGTGTTCCGAGAAGGCCGCGGCGCCCGAGACGTCCTCCAGAGCTGCCGGATCTCAGGGATTCTCGACTTATGCTCACCCGTCGAGCGCTCGTAGAGGGAGGGTTATCCCAAGGTGGGGCTGGGCAACGGGCCCGGCTGGATGCTCCCGTGTAACGCGCTTCCTTCTTCCAGGGGCCGTTTGGAGCGATTTCCCCTCCAACCCAACGTTTGCCCCAACCCTTTGTGCCCCCCCGAACCCGATTTTGTCCTCGTCCTGGCTTCGTCTTGGCGGACGGGCAGAAGCAGTACGTCGGAGGTCCCCACCTGCACCGGGTGAAGACGGATGCCGAGCCCAGGGCTGGTGCATACGCCTCCGTCGCCACGGCAGGAGGTCGTGCCCACCGACCCTTCTCCTCCTCCTCCTCCTCCTCCTCCTCCTCTTCCTCCTCTTCCTCGTCTCCTCGTCTCGTCCTCCTCCTCCTCCTCCTCCTCCTCTTCCTTCTCCTCCTCCTTCTCCTCCTCTTCCTCCTCCTTCTCCTCCTCTTCCTCCTCCTCCTCTTCCTCCTCCTCTTCCCACCGAGTAAGTTCGGGGGGGTGCTGTGCGGGGTTGGCTCACAAAGGGGGCGGCCTCTTGAGAAGGCTCGGGACTTCTCAGAAGGCCTCCCGCCTGCGAAGAAGCCGTCCTAGAAGCCTCCGAGCCCTTCTGAACGGCCTCTTGCCTTTGTGAATGCCCCCCCCTCCCCCCCTCCTCGTCCCGCCCTCTGGTGCGTGTCGCCAGCACGTACATGTCCAGCGTTGGCGTAGGCGTCTGAATGCCCGTTCCGGCGACGCCACCTTTCAAGTTTTTCGTCCCTTGTTGATTTGACAGCCCTGGGGCCGTGCCGAAGCGCAGCTTCAGGCCGCCGAGCCTTGTGAAGGATTCGCGGTTCGATCTGATTCAGTCGCCGGAGATGTGGGTACTTGGCGCCCTCCTCGAGGAGTGCAGGATCAGGTGCCCGATCTGCAACCAGAGGATCCTGGGCCCCGAGGCGCCCGCCCGCGTGCCGCGTCGCGGCCGGCCAGACGGCCCAGCCCGTCGTGTGCCCCGCTGCCTTGTCCGAAGCGCAAGCAGAGGACCCGGAGCCCAGGCACCCGCTGAGATGCTCGGGAGCGGCAAGGAGGGGGGCGATGACCAGGGGGGGGGGATATCATGGCGTGGGCCATGATGTCTCCCTAGATTTCATGGCGCTTCTGCTCATTTCATGACAGCCCTGGCCCCCCCCCTGGGCCGCGCACGTGCCGCCAGCCACGAGTTGCGCCCCCCCCTCTTGGACGCCCCCCTCTTGGCCGCTCCAGGTGCTTGCTTGCGCGCGGCTGGCCTGGGGCCTCGAGACGGACGTCAGTGCAAACGGGGGTCAGCCAGAGCGCCAGCTCCTGCAGGATCCTGCAGAGCCAGGGGTGCACTGACTCGGGCTGGCGTGCAGGATCTCGCAGGATCCTGCAGAATCTTGCAGGATCTCGCAGGATTGATGGGCCTGTTTTCCACCACCATCATAAGTTGGGGGGGGAAGGAGGTGGAGGACGAGGAGGAGGAGGATGAGGAGGAGGATGAGGAGGAGGCGGAGGAGGAGGAGGATGAGGAGGAGGCGGAGGAGGAGGAGGAGGAGGAGGAGGAGGAGGAGGAGGAGCAGGACCCCCTCCCCCTCCAACTTCTGGTGGTGGTGGACAACAAGCCTATCAAGGATCCTGCAGGATCTTGCAGGATCCTGCAAGGCCTAACTGATCAGTGCTTGCACTGGCCTGGATCCAGTGCGTCCCCGATTTGGGTCGGCCGATTGTGGGGCCCGGAACCTCCCCGGCCCTGGAGCCGAGGACTCAGGATCGAGGGTGCACTTCAACATGCCGCTCGGAGGCCTGTTCTGGGCCTCTCGGGGGCCTTTCCAGGCCTTCTCTAGGGCCTCTCGGGGGCTTCCTGGCGGCCTTGAGGGCCCATCCCTTGGGGAACTCGACATGTCGGTCCGTCTTCCCCCTTGCAGGTCCTTCTTGGGGGCCTCTTGGGGATCCTTGGGGCCCTTCTTCAGGGCTTGCACACCATATCGGGCCGATCTCTGGGGGACGCCCTTACGACCGAAACGGCGACAAGGCTTAGCCCACTGATTCTGGTTGATCCATGGTTTATCTGAGGGCGACTCCCAAAGCCTCCAAGGTGGCCCAGGAGACGCCAAAGAGGGCTCATCATGCTGGACGTGTGCATTCCTGACCACGTCCCCGAGACCTCCTGAAGCGTCGCGCGAGGACCCCTGGGAGCGCCCCAGAGCGCCCAGAAAACTGGGCCTTGGGCGCTCTAGAGAGCATTTACAATACTCAGCATCAAGAACTTGCAGGGGCCCGAGGAACTGAAGAGACTCCATTCAGTGCTTCGCGGCACAGTGGCGTGAGCGTGTGTGTCTTCGCAGTTCTTTGTTTCACTGTCTAAAACATCGCTCTGATGACTCAGTGGCATCAGTTAGTACCAGATTGCAAACTACCCGCGTCGAGCTTTGGTTCCTCAGGTCTTTTGGCCGCTGCACTGTGTTGGCATTGCAGTGCCTCTCGCCTTTCACCACCGATCTGCATGGCCGTGGCTGGGCTCTTTCATCATGGCGCGTTCGACTAAGTTTGTTCGCAACTGGCACCTTCACCTGCCGACCGCGCCTGAACTTCCTCTGCGCCGCCGACTTACAAAAGTGTGCTTACATACATATTTATATAAGTACATAAGTACAGCCATCAGAGTGAGGGGGCCGAACGGTCATTCACTATCCCTGGGCGCGTGGCCGAAGTGGGGTTCCGCGGTGCGGATTGTTGTTGTTGTTGTTGTTGCTGTTGTTGTTTGTTGTCGTTGTCCTCGCCCGCGTCCCGCCTGCGACCCACCCGCGACCCACCCCGCGACCCACCCCGCGACCAACCCGCGACCCACACGCGACCCACCTGCGACCCACCCGCGGTTCACCCGCGAACCGCCCGCGACCCGCCCGCGACCTTCCCCGCGCCCGCCCCCTCACTCTTATCCGCAGCTGCGGGATGCTACATCTATGCAGCTGGGTATGCGTTTTGCGCGGCAAGTGCAGCCGCTCGGGTCACGCTCGAAGCCCCTCCCTCGCTCCTCTTCGGATTGGCACCTGCCGGTTCCCGAGAGACCAGGCGCCACGAAAATGTACAACACCTCAGTGTCAACGGTTGTCATCGACGAACAAAAGACGGCATACACATAACATTTTGGAGAAAAGAATCAACTGTGGTCATCGGAAAACGTCTGTCATCGAAGAACACGGCACGCATACAACTTGTTGAAAAACAGCAATCACGACGGTCATCGAACAACAGTTTTCATTGAATATTAAAAGCTGGCATAAACAAAACGACTGTCAGCAAATGGCGAACAACGGAACGGTTGTCATCGAATAGCAACAAAGACATAAACATACATTTCCGGAGGTCCGCGCGGATGTCTTGGATCGGCGCTAGGGCCCTCCAGACGGCGCCCCTGGCGCGCTCCGCGCGCCAGGGAGGGGGGGCCAGCGCGCATCCAAGAAATCCGCGCGGACCGGCGACAGCCGTTTTTTGTTCCTCCAGGTCAGGCCACGCCTTGAGGCCTGGGGGAAGCTTCCGTTCGGCAAGAGCTTGTAAGACTGTGCTAACCCCCTCCTGTCTGGGATCACAAGCGGAAATCCGCTTCTGAAAGCTCCCCCCCGGCCGCCGTAGCTCCAGAAACTCGGCGCCAGTCGACCCCCCGGGGCGAAACCCAAACAGTGCGAATTGTGCAACGAGGCCGGCCTCCCCAGGCATGTCCCGCGCAGCCACCTCAAAGGGGTGTCTTGAGGCTTGGCCCCGCAAATCTCACAAGAGAAGCGCCCCTTGGAGTCCCTCCGGGCCTGGCGCGCGGAGCCCGCCGGGGCCTCCTGCAGTTCCGCCCGCTTGGCGTTGCTGCGCTCCTCTGCTTCGCCGAGCCTGGCAGCCTTGGCGGTGGGCCAATGCAGCTCTGGAGCCCACCTGGCAACCTCAATAGCGACCGAAGCGGGGTGTTCGAGCACTTCCGCACGATGAGCACACATGACCAACACCTCACTTATGGCCCACCCTGGGAGCGGGGCCCTGGTAGACCCCTGCTCGGCCGCATGGTCGGCCGCCCCGTTGACCAGCCAGTGGGCTGGGGGAATCCCGTGACCCTCCACGGTCTCTGGGGAAGCGTGGGATTTCACCTTGATCATGTTGATTTGCCTACCTTCGGCAAGTCACCAGAATTCCTTCCAGGCCGCTCTGTTGACAGGCTGCCTGGCGGTGACCCCCTAAAGAAAACTCCTCTTCTGGTGCCCTGCATCCTTTGTCTCATCAAGATGTGTTTTGAACAAGCTTTCGAAGTGGCCCCGCATCCGCGTTACGAAGGTGACTATTGAAGCAAGGTGTTGAAGTTTCGACTGTGTGTGTAAATCCCCAAACCTTGGAGATAGCCGGAGCGTTTGGCCACGAATGCGAGGCTACTTGCTGCTCTATGATTCCATCTGTCTTTAATTTCCTCGTGTAGGCGTCTGCGCTGATTTCATACAACCCGTCGCGCGAACGAGCCATGCGTAATGTATATACATCTATATACACGTACTTAGGTCTAACTACATGTGTGTAAATTCATGCTCGTACGTGTGTACGTATACGTAATGTGTATGTACGTATATAACCTCAGGAGGTCTTTACTTATTGCCCCCTTGTTTACTTCGGTGGGAAATAAGCTCGCCCCTCCTACCCCTCCTGCTCCTTCTCCTCTTCCTCCTCCCCCCTCCTCCTCCTTCTCCTCCTCTTCCTCCTCGTCCTCCTCCTCGTTCTTCTCGTCCTCCTCGTAGTCGTAATCGTAGCCGTCGTCGTCGTCGTTGTTGTGCGGCGAGTGCCGCGGATAAGTCATTATTTTCAACCATTGGTGGGCCTCGTTCCCGTCAAACTGTTGCCGACCAGATAATCATTTTCCGATTATTTGAGGGTTCTGAAGACCCATCGCTGCTACATGTATTTGAACAGACATGCGCATATATACATATTTGCATATGGTCATAAACATGTACCGATACGGCGTGTATATATACATATATATAGTTGTATATATATAACAATGTACATAAATCTACTTACCGTAGCACCCCCCGCAGTTGCGGATAGGAGTGAGGGGGGCGGCGGGGACGTCGGCAGTCTGCGAGGCTCTGAAGAAGCCCGCCGCAGGCGCGGAGTCTTTCAAGCTATACAACGGCCCCGCCGCAGGCGCACATATTTCTTTGTTGAAGCGATGTGGGTGGGTCGCGGTTTGGGTCGCAGGTGGGTCGCGGGTGGGTCGCGTGGGCGTCGCGGGTGGGTCGCGGGCCGGGTCGCGGGCCGGGTCGCGGGTGGAGCCTTACGTCTCCCCAAAGACATTGCAGCATTGGTTCCGGCATCATCATTGTTTTGCATTCTGCGCGTGTCGTTTCAGACATTCCCAGACATCGTTTCAGAGACAGTGCCAGCTTTTTCAGAAACTCCGCAATACCATCCGGCCGTCAACTACACTTCCTGGACGCACTTGGAGGGACTCCGCCAGCAGTATCGAAGCTTTCCTTGCAACATGTTTCGGACATTCCGAGGCTGATTTGCTTACGGATCTTTTGGCAACCTCACCGCTTCCGAGAGGTATCCCGTGACAGACGCATCTTGCTTTTGCATCGTCGTGCAGAGGGTCATTGGTTCATTTTTGCTGGAAGTTCGGAAGCTGACCTCTCCACCCCTCTTGGTTGACTTCATCTTTGCCTTACCTCCTCTTGTTCCTCCTGCTCCCCCCTTCTCATCCGTGCCCCCGATGCTTCTGTATTCGGCAACCCAGCACAGCAACGATATTTTTCATCGTCGGGGGAGGGGCACTCGTCGCCGCGGCTGGACATACAACAAAACGACGAACACGAACGCAGTGGAGGCCTCAGCACGAAGAGGGCGACAGTTGTGTCCCCCTGTTGGTAGATAGAGACCCCTTCTGAGCCCCTTTTTCGCTACTCCAATTTACTCGTACGGTCCTGAAGCGTGTCTGTGCGTGCGGAGCCCACCCGCTGAGGAGGAGGAGGAGGAGGAGGAGGAGGAGGAGGAGGAGGAGGAGGAGGAGGAGGGGGAGGAGGGGGAGGAGGAGGGGGAGGCTCTGGAGCCATCTCGAAGCCGTCCTCGGCCCTCCGCTAGTTTGTTTCGGGGTCCGCTCTCACGCTGGGCCCCACCGAGAGACACGGGAGGAAGCACGTCGGACAGAGTAGACATATGATGAACATGCGGTACTTAATGCAAGGAAAAACAACCACAGGGGAGGGCTCAACACGACAGTTGAGAGAACCAGTACTGCGGAATCCGTGTCCTCCCGTTGTTAGGTGAGGTTCCCAACCTACCTTCTTCTGCTGATTTCGGGTTCGCACGCCCCCGTGCCACCCGTGCGTCAGCAGCCAGCCGTTTCCGCGCGAGTTCCGCAGCGGCCAGGCAGGCCGCCATCTCCGTGGGCGGTGAGATGCTCCCACGGGGCCCGCGAGTCGCCGGGGAGCTGAGAAGCCCGCACCCGCGTATGCCCCTCTGGCCCCCCCCCCTGGGCCCCGCCCCCCAGCGGTGCAGAGCAGGCGGAAGTGCGATCGGAGCCGTGGCGAGCGCTCGAGCGGGAGCCTCGAACTGCGAGCGGGGGTTTGCTGCAGCACTTCCGCCTGCAAGTTCG